GAATGATACAAAACGGAAAGTCCTTTCGAGATATAATGAAAGCTTAATATATAAATATTTTTGTACGTTAATGACTATATGTTTTGTTTAAAGATTTACATGAGATTTTAATAGCAGTTGAAATTATTGTTTAGTTTTGTTTCACCAGAGGTTCAGATTAAAGTGTATACATATTATGTTTTCATATTAACCTTAAGTACCCGATAGTCACTGTCTCTCATAGAAATCTCGCAAATTGCAGTCAATTTATATAACATTTATGTGTAATATAGATATTTTTAATATCCAATAATCTGGCCATAATTAGAGTGAAAACAAAACTAAACTAAACTAAATATATTCATATCTATTCTCATGAATACCTCAATGTTTTAGTCACAGAATAAATACTAATAATAATATTCTGTAATAAATATAAAAATTATCTCCGAAAATATTTGTTTTGTTATACGAAAGGGTTATAAGAAATAAAGAAAATGAAAATTTTTGATGAGTATAAAGACCTACACTTTTTTCACTCTACCTAAGCTGTCGTTCCCCTTAGCTAACAGACCGCTAGCGCCGTACGTGACCCCCCTTTTTGACAGTCAGATCCAACATTTGATTAAATTTTTGCTGCTTTTTATTGTTGTTGCTATGAATAACTTTACATTAGATTATTATACAGTACTCTCTTGGCTAGTATACCTGTATATCAAATATAATACATTATATGTATTATTATTATTATTATCGATAATAAAATTTAAAATTAAGAGTCGATTCTTGTATTGGAAATAGCAGTCTATGCAATAATCATATGCATTATCAGGGAATGAAAATTATTGAACTAGCATTTTTTACTCGATGATCCCGGTGCTATAATACCGGTGCCTATTATTAGTGTATGTGTTCACTATAATGAGTACATAAATACAATATCAGTGTACGTAAACTATATTATTATCAATACGTTTTGGGTGTCATTAGCAGTAGTGATGAGAATTATGGTGTCGTTTCTGTGGTCTCAGTGACAGAGACTTATCATTACATTAACGATGTTTTCATAATAACTGGTATTCACTGTATTTAATAATAAGAACTATTGAATCAAAATAAAGTTAATTTTAAATTAAATTAAATATATTTTTATTGTTGATATTATGTGAGATGTGTTTATGTCTCTCAGTGTTATACAGTATAATTTATACTAAAGTAAAAGTTATTTTTATTTAATTATGTTTTTATTGTGATATTAAAGTCAAAGGGTAGAGAAAAGGGTCATTAAATAAATAGCTATGTTAAATAGAGGAAATTTAATAGTTATGTGAATTTGATGTGAATATTAAATGATTAAAACTAGTATTTGAGAAGAGAGTGAGTGAGTGAGAGAGAGAGAGAGAGAGAGAGAGTGAGAGAGAGAAAACCATGATTTGCTACACATTTTTGATTTTGGTCTCTAATCTATTGTTTGCGTTTATTTTTTACACAATTTTGTAGTTGATTAAAAACGGGTGTATTGGCCGGCACTAGTCTACGGTAGTACAATTGCTACATGCAATATATTTGTCAGTAACTATACAAGGACTGATAGCTTTGAAGTCATATATTTTATGAGTTTTTCTTGAAATTATTTTATGCTTAAGATAATAATATATTAATAAAAATTTTCAATTCAATTTAATAAATACATTATTCACGAGAGAGAGAGAGAGAGAGAGAGAGAGAGAGAGAGAGAGATCTGTGATGACTTGACTGTGATCTGTGATGTGTATTATATTAATAAAATATGCTGACATTCTTAGCATTCATAGGAAAGGGTCAAATTTCTAATTTTACACAATATTCCACATTATTATTAGTAATGATAATACTCTTAAAGAAGGGAGATAATGGTTCATGTTTTAGCATAGATAACTCAACTAATATCGGGGTTATATACATAAATTGCTTGATTATATAGGTAATGAAGTACTGGGCTATACATCGACCCCATTGAATACATCTTTACAGTGCTCTCTCTCTCTCTCTCTCTCTCTCTCTCTCACTGAAAAGTGTAGTGAGAATGAAGTGAATGATTCCAATGAAAGGGTCTCTATTGTGGGGATAACTATTCCTTCACAAAACATAATAAGTATATAAGAAATGCATTAATGATTATCGCAATTGCAATGATGGTTATAGAGGTCAGTAACATAAGGGGGTCGACAATTTGGTGTGTGATTAACGTACAGTTTGTTGTCTTTTATACATGATGAGAGAGAGAGAGAGAGAGAGAGAGAGAGAGAGACTTGTATATATACCTGTCTATACTGTATGGCGAAAAATAATTATTCAGTGAATGCTCCCTATAATGAAGCACTTGATCATCGAAAACACCAAACAATATGTTGTTTAATACACACGAGTCTATTAAACAAGTATATTGTCGTAAACCATGATTTGCTACACATTTTTGATTTTGGTCTCTAATCTATTGTTTGCGTTTATTTTTTACACAATTTTGTAGTTGATTAAAAACGGGTGTATTGGCCGGCACTAGTCTACGGTAGTACAATTGTTACATGCAATATATTTGTCAGTAACTATACAAGGACTGATAGCTTTCAAGTCATATATTTTATGAGTTTTTCTTGAAATTTTTTTATGCTTAAGATAATAATATATTAATAAAAATTTTCAATTCAATTCAATTTAATAAATACATTATTCACGAGAGAGAGAGAGAGAGAGAGAGAGAGAGAGAGCTCCGAAGAAGTTTCTACGAAATGTCTTAAACTCATAAAAAGTTTTATTTTTTAAGTTTATACTAAAATTTCTGCTTTTATAAAGAAAAAACTTTCCAGTCTTTTCATATGTAATAAAAATGTTTTATTGAAAACTCGTTTTGAAATCACTCTCTCCGCTATCCATCAGTCCATTGGGGTTTCAAAAGACATTTTCCAAACTTATATTAGTTGTACTGTATTTGCTTTAATAAAATAAAAATATAAATATATGGTATAAAACTATGGATACAATCGTATAAACATACGAATAGTTCTCATGAATTAAATATAAAATCAATAGTTCTCTCTCTCTCTCTCTCTCTCTCTCTCTCTCTCTCTCTCTCGAACTCATCGAAAAATTCATTTGTTTTATATCTTGAAAATATAATAAATTGTTTGATATTATATTTTTCAATCAAAAATGAATAAAATCTCAATTTTCTATCGAATGAAAAATCTATAAAACCGTTAAAATGATTTTTAAGTATTTCTTATTTTTATAAATTTTGGTCAAATATTCAGTAAAGTCACGATTTGTGTATTTTATATGCAAACGACATATTTTTCAATGTGCATAATGTGCTAGAAAATTTATTATTGAAACAAACAAAGTAATAATAAGAAAATATTGAAATCCAGTGTCACTCTCGAGAATATTCTTTATATTCTGTTATATTTGTGTTTTACCTGAAATTCTACCGAAAGAAAGATAAGAGAAAAATATTGATTTTCCTAAAAGTTGGCAAAACTACTATTCTTTACAATAAGCAAAAGTCTGCAAATATATCGTAAACTCTGAACAGATTTTGTTTTCTGTTTTCAAACAAATTTTCTTATGACCCGTGAATTCTCATCACATAATTTCATACAAACATTAGACTGTTTTTAGTCTCAACGTCTAGTCTATACATGTTTGTCATACCAGTGCCCTTTCATACGACTGATCCCATATGAACAATGAAAACACGCTGTTTTATAACATCCCATAAACATAAATAAACTTTTATATTCATTTCAAGTCATTATCAGATCATCTTTTTAGTGAACTAAATGCGTTAAAACAAAAAACAAATTATGTTTTATTTCTTATTGCTAACTATAAGTAATGTGTGGGCGAGAGAGAGAGAGAGAGAGAGAGAGAGAGAGAGAGAGAGATCCGTAATAGATCTAAACATTAAGAGAGAGAAAGGATTATAAAATAAAAAATTACTTTTGACTGATACTACATTATATGTTTAGCATTTTATATTACAATTTCGTGTATAGTAAATTTTTTTGTGCATTTGGTTATAAAAAAAATTATATCGAAATGCATAAAACATCATACAAGTATTTGTTCTAATCTATTAATGTATTTTATGCAATAAATATAAATATTATATATGAAATGTATAAGATAACAATTTTTAGTACTAGATAAGCTATTTCAAAAAGCTTGTATTTTGAGGATATTAATATTTAGTGATCTCTTTTTCTAATTTGTTTTTCGCCTTGTTGTTTATATTTTAGTTTAAATCTTTTTTATTAAAAATTATTTTATTCTTATTATAAATAAATTTTTCCTGAATAAATCAATTGTATGCAAAAATAATATTCTGTATAAATTAAATGAAAATTCTTGCGCTTATAATTGAGGTCACATTTGATTCAAACAAATTTCTACAATAAATAGCTATAAAGTTATATAAATATCTGTATTTACACAAATGAAAATCAGTGACCATATTGTGTATTGTGTTTGACTCGCGAGTGAGATCTCATTCAAAATCTAATGCATTGAATGCATTAAAAGTCAGTGAAAATGTTTGTCACTTGAATTTAATCCGTTTTGAGTGCTTTTCCCAGGAAATGCACACAACTTTCCTCCACCCGTTCCCTATATTTGCCAAACAGTAACCATTAAAACCATTTTCATTTGAAATCATAATTATTTGGCAAAGTTTTGTGATTCACAACGAGTTTCGCACAAAACATTTCTCTGACTTTTAAACTTTTTTTGATGACCAGAAACTTGCGCTGAATTTTGGAGCAATAAATCGAAATAAACTCAATATTTAAGGCCATTCCTCACACGTTTATATTATTTATAGAAATCATTCACAATTCATTTCATATACGAGTGTTTGCTTTTTAGGAGATTTTAGTTGTTGTTCACGATTTCCACGAAAACATACAATAATTGTTTTCTATGTTTAGATGTCTATATTTAGAGCAATTTTTAGTACTGATATCGCTTTAAAATTTTATTAATAAATGTATTTAGCGATCAGTTGTGAGCCGCCAATAGCCCCACAAAACGGTCGACTACTGGACAATACACACTACTTGGCCGGGGATTATGTTCAATACGCGTGCAATAGTGGGTTTGTGATAATGGGAGAACCACTGGCCATATGTATGGACAACGGCACCTGGTCCTCGCCATCGCCTATATGTGAGTTCTTTGACATTTGTGTGCAATAAATATATTATAAGAATAATATTCTGTGTTTTGTTATTGTTTTTATAAATATACAATTATTGTTGTGATGAATACCCATTTAATAGCATTTCAACAAAAATATTGAATATTCTGTTAACATGTATTAGGAATTCATTGAATATTAACAATTCATAAATTGAAATGTTAAGTTATTTTATTACTTATACACAGAATATATACCAAATATTAAGAGGCGTTCAAATATAATGTTTAACATCAAATATATTGTATATTGCAATTTATATATATTTTAGTCATATTGATCAAAACTTTAGTTCATTGTACACATATTTAATCTACATTTTTTGGACATTGCAACAAACTATTAATCCAAATGCAAACTAACGATTCATTTGTTTATATTTACGATTACTATAGCCTCGACGTTATGGTTAAATATACGGCTAAATATTGATTTGATTTATAGCCTAACAGTACACATATAGATAGGGCACGGAATAGACGTTTAATGATTTCATACACTATTATTAATGCATTATATATTCTATTAAAATATTTGTTGAGAAACAACAACAAAAATGTTTAGTTTTAAAATTAGAATTTAATGAATGCTAAGAATTTGCACTTTCTTTTAAAATTATTTCCCAAATTTTATTATTAAAAAATTCTAAACATTTATAATGATTTTATGAAAGCCTTAGTATTCCCAGGGTAAAAATAGATTTTTTTGAATTCATGTTTTAAAGGATTAGATAGAAATTCAATATATTCTTACCCCAAGGTTGTTAGATATCAAAATTACACTATTAATTAATTATTTTTTATTAATACTAATTATACTTGCTCTATACTTTAAATGTTGTAAATTAAATTCCTAATTCCCTTAGCTATTATTTTGATAAAATAGGTTATTTAAGCATGCAAAGTTTTTATATCTTTATAGATTTAAATAGTTTTTCAACTAAATTAATTTTTCTTATTTATAACATTGATTTTGAGTCATTTAATACTTTGATGAGATCAAAAATACGAGTAGTACTTACATTATGCTAATACGCGATATAAGCACTGTATGTCTCAACCGAAAATGACTTTTCATTGATTTTCATTTTATTTTTTATATTAGAAAATGTGTTGAAGATTTGTTATTTAACGAGTAATGAATTTTAATGGATTTCTCGGAACAGTTATATATATTTAAAGAAAAAAATATATATAGTGTAAGAAATCAATTTGTAAAATGTATTTCTGATCCCATCTTATGTGTGACAAAAGTATTTTTAACTTTCAATTTAAATGCATTGAATAAATTACAGTCACTTTTTTGCTAAATATATATATTTATTTCCACCTGTTCTGTCCATTATTGACAGTATAAAAAATCTATACTTGTTCAAAATACATTTATATTAACATGATTTCCATGGCACCAATAGGTAAGGCGGTGTGCGAGTTCCCTGGCGAGTTAGCCAATGGCCACATAGAGCCCACCAAATTCCACTACAACATCGACGAGACAGTGACAGTGATGTGTAATCATAATTACAGACTATTGGGTACACCGAAGCTCAAGTGCAATGCCAACGGCCACTGGTCCAGTCCTAAGCCCCATTGCAGACCCTTCTACTTCTGACAGCACCCACACACCCACCACACAGACCACTGACAAACACACACACACATATACCACACCTCCACCCCCTTCTACGCCATTAATACTCGCCGATCAAAGATATGCACAAACCGTTTCAGTCTCTCTAGACGTGAGGACAGTTGTGTCGACCACTGTCTCGCTCTACAGTTTTGCCGTCTATTCATCCCTCGCATTGGCTTCTTATGTCATAATATGAATGTTTTGACTCATGAGTGCTCGACGCCAGCCGTGTGTGCTATCAAGCATTTGTGTGACCATTTGATTTGTTATTTGATTTGATTTTTTGTTATTCAAAACATCTTATGTTTCTAATATCCGGAACACTGAAAAATAATAATAAGTAATTATGATAAGAAAAATAATTTTTATAAATATAGTATCAAGAAACATATAAAAATAAAAATCAGAATAATCTCGAATGAGTGCTAAAAATTGGTCTTTTTTTGTCAATAAATATGATTAAAATTGCTTTTTATTGCTTTTTATTGTTTTATAAGACAGGGGCTGATGCACAGTAACATCACATCATCTTAAGAATCTGTTTATACATGCATTATATATATACAGTATATATAAATATATATATTTCAATAAAAACAAGAATATTCTGCTACATCAAAGAATATTCTTAATAAGAATCATATAGTTATGTAAAATAGTTATAATATACTAAAACATATTTCTGTTTCGTTGTTTGTTTTGTATTAATATAATTAAATACATATTTAACTAATAAAACTGTATATTAATTGTTGTTTGAATTATAATTGGTTTGAATATTGTTTTCAAACAAAACACAATACAATGTTATCGTTAAATGAAAAGAATATTTGTAATAAATTTGAACAAAATTAATAAAATTTTATCATTACTTCTTAACAAACATTTTTAAAAATTTATTAAACTTTTATTTTTCAATTAATTTCAATTTAGTTCTCGTTTTTTGAGTCATTCAATAGCTGTCTATCAAAGAATACAATGAAATGAAAAAGTTTTCTCTCGTATAATAAATGATGAAAAAGTTTTTTGAGCGGAAAGTTTTCAATGACTTAACGGTGCAGTTAAGTCGTCGCCAAAGCAAACCTTAAGTCAGAGTAAAGTCACATTTCCTGACCTTTTTATACGAGAGAATGGACTGAAATTCGTGACCTCTTATGAAAAAGTGATAAAACGATAGCGAAGTCCACACATAAAAAGACAAGATTTATATACCAAAAGCCTATCACTTGTTTACGGATTTAATGACAGATTTTATGCTCTCTCTCTCTCTCTCTCTCTCTCTCTCTCTCTCTCTCATAATAAATAATTTTTTGCTCAAATTATTTATCACTTGTGTTGCGATATATTAGATTTTTTGGCTATATTTCAGTCTATTATTTGAACAATATTTGAGACAAACATCGCATTCAATCGCACTTTCATTGATAGCCAACCCCTTTAGATGTATGGCCGGCACTGGTATTAAATTATTTTCATTGAAAGAAAGTTTTCTTTTCTTTATATACAGTAATATTAATGATTAAATCAAATGAATGGCTGAACACATGATCTGAAAGAATCTGTAGACTGAAAGCTGGTGTGAAAAATATGTGGCCATCACCGGCAAGTTCATCAATTATTACACACAAACACACAGAATATTCCGTACTATTTATTATTTAGTTTTTATCAAATATGACTTCCCTGTATTGTACACAGTGAAGTGTCCTTGACAGTAAATTCTTGGTTTATTAAAAATTGAATTCACAATATTTTAGTCAATTAGTCTAATAAATTATCTTAATAAATAAATTATATAATAATCAATTAATTAAAAATATAATATAATTTTGTTTAAAATTTGTACTTTATAGCCTTTAAAAAGTAAATGCCAAGTAAGGTATCCTTAAATAAGCAAGTTAACAGTAAGTAATTCATAAGTTTTACTCTCAAATGTATTATGCTTTAGTAACCCTTCCATTGAGTATTATATTAATTTATTATGACATAACATATATGTCGAGATGGAAAAATACCAGTTTACTTTATTAAATTCACGGACAAGTGTAAATCCAATAAAATCACACCAATACAGCACAAACAATAATAAACTTAATAACACAATAGTACAGTATGTTTCAATACAGATAGTGTTATAATGTTTGTATTTGATTCAAAAAATAAAAACAGATTAATTCAAATGTTGTTAAGTTAAATGTCATTCATACTCTATTTGTAGACAACATTTACCCGATTTTTTTTGTTAAACCCATTTCATACTACTCTCACTTTATTATAAATAAAACAAAAGCTTCAATTGGTTTATGTTTTATAATTAACTTTAAATAAACATTTACTTAATTTAGTTAAAATGTACAGAATCGAGTATTTTAAGTTATACTGACAAGGTAAGTAAACAATAATATTATTGTTTAAATTAATTCAAGTGTTTGCTTGAATTAAAATCGCTTTAATTGAAAGTTAAATTATATAATTTATTTAACAAGGATCTAAAAATATTTATACTTTAAGTAAAATCAAATCGATTATTCATTCAAATAGTATTCATTATACTAAACAAATTCCAAGCATTAGTAATATATTCTTAATACCAAAATCGTATGGCATTTGAATAAATGAATTAAACAAATATTTTTGAAACGAATTCGTAAGGAATAATAATACATATAAACACCGACTTTAAAACTAATGAATATCACAAATAACATAAAATTATAAAACAAATAAAAATCATAATTTCAAATTAATTTGAATTATGAACAGCATATGGGTATTCAGTGACATTTGATTAATTAATTATTTTGAGAATAATTTAAATATTCATATACTTTAATTTATAATTTAATAAAGTTTTAAAATTAATTTTAAAATATTCTGGAGTGTGTATGAAATTTTAAAAATAATATAATTATTTATTGTTTTGCATCCAATGCCGAAAGTTTTATTAAATCATCAAATGATTAATAAACAAATCATTTTACAGGATAATTACCGGTATGTGAATACTTTGAGTTTAAACTTTTTAATCCCTTTTCAGATTTTATTTGTCATATAAAAATAACTACCTATGCTTTCAAACTTTGATTGCAATCAATTAAGTTATCTCATAATTAAAACCAATTTATGTTCAAATAATTTGATAATAGTTTGAGTCTATTTGCGATCAAATAATTAATTCGCGAAACAATTGTGAAAACCATTGGTTTCGGTAGCCTTTGCCTCAAACAGCGATGACTTCACAAAACTCTTATGAAGACATTGCTATTGACAAACAAAAGCCTCAAATTACTGTTAATTAGATATTCATTCAAAAGGACAAGCTTTCAAACATTGAATTCACTTTAATACATTTGGACACAATGTTTAGCACAAGAATTTAATTATCAATATATGAAGTGAATTAACATTAAGAGCGCCAAAGTATGTGCAATAAAGGGAGCGACAACTCAATTACATAATTGCTTCACTATTCCGGTGCTATAGGTTGGGCTTAAGGACTCAATCATTAGCGATAGACTTCTAATGACTTAATCATTATTGGGACCAAAAGTGAGGATAGAGTTGGAGAGAGAAACAAAAACTCAATTTCGCGATAAAACTCTCAAAGAAATAACAATTAAGAGTAAATAAAAACAAATTTCAGACTCGCCATAAATGCCAAAACTATTTTCGTTGTACTTTTGTACCGTATATTTTATTTAAATGTTTTTAATAAGATCTGAGATTAGAGATAGAAATTGAGGTAAAAAAAGGGATTACGTGTAAGAGATAAGTATACAGCAGAGAGAAAGTAAGTCTAACCGTATTATTGATTCAATCAAAATGATTGCAAACTTATAAAGCGAATGAATCAAATAAAAAGGATACCAGAGAAAAGATTTAATAGTATTGCACATACTTTGGCGCTCTTAATGTTAATTCACTTCATATATTGATAATTAAATTCTTGTGCTAAACATTGTGTCCAAA